TGCCATTCTGCAACCCAGAGCTGCAGTGTTTCACATCTCTTTCTTTTCTTTTTAAAAAATGGAATTACGTATTCCTTATCCAGGAGAGGCACAGAGATGGAGACAGTGAAGCAGTAGGGGGCAGGGAGGTTGGCACCCCCTACAGGTCTTCACGCTGCAATCCACCCCCAGTCAGAGCTGGCCTGAGTCACAAGCACACATGTGCCTAGCATGTTCAGGAAGGTTCTAGGATATGAACCCAGGGCCTTTACTATATTTTACAGTGTGTTACCTCTGCACTACCACCTGGTCCTCATTATCCTCTTCAAATAAAATAAAATCTGACTCAGAACCTTCCAATCCAATGTGGGCCAAGTGAGGGGCTCTATTACCCATCTTGGGACCCAAAGAATCCTGAAGACAAGTTTGGTCCCTGGGCAATGAGGGTTGAGCTGCTAGTATTTCTAAGTGGAAACTTCTAGAAAGAGGTAACTGCAGAATCAGGAGTCAGGCCTCCCCAGAGCTCTGGCCTCCTCTAAGTGCTCTGGCAAGTGGTGCAGGCCAGGGTTCCCGCAGTCTGAAGACCTCAGCCTGGGCCTGGGGCAGGCTTCTTCCCAGCCTCTCTTTCAGTCTCAGTGGCACCCTCTCCCCTCCCCTAGAATATTCTGGAGCAAAGAGGCCTCTGGAAAACAAAAGGCAGGTTGTCTGCCTTGCTCCAACTTCCTAGAGGGTCACTCAAACCCCTCTGAGGCAGAGGAGCACAAAGACCTTGCTATTTGCTCAGAACTGGGGATGGGAACTGTAATTACCTGCACCCATGTTTCAGAAAGATCATGTGACAAAAGTAAAAAGGGCAGTTAAACGTTAAAAATCGCATCTTTTTTTCTATAAATGTATTTTGGTGGTGACTGCATACCACCAGGGTATGTTCAAGATACCTTCGGTCCAGGGAGGGGATTTTTGCTGCCCTGCTAGCAGGAGGCCTGTACTTTTCCAGGCCTCATTCTGTGAGTCACAGCAGACTTCAGGGGCCTCCCCGCACCACTGTGGAGGCCAGAAATCCTTTTTTCTTTCCTTCTGCGTTGAGAATTCTCATCTCAAAATCCAAACCTTGGAGTTGTTGTTAGCAACATGCTTTAAGCGTAGACTATACTTTTCTTTCTTTCTTTCTTTTTTTTTTTTTGCCAGAAAATACATGTGCTCACCAGGGAGAGACTGTGGGGGAAGGGGAAAGCACCCTCAACTGGGTGTGTTCATGCTGCAATTCCTCCATTTCTTCATCCTGTCAGGACTGGGTGCACGCACGCACATACATATACCTGGTGTATTTTTCAAGCCATTAGAGCTGGGATTCAAACTGCAGTCAATCACGTGGGGCCTGGCTTTCTTAACCACAAGACCATGGGGCCAACCCAAGCAAAGACTTTAAAAGGAGATGAAGGGCTAGCCTGTGATGCGGTGGTTAAGGAGGCTGGATTTCATATAGCTGACTGTGTGGTTCAAGTCCTGGATCCAGTGGCTTGAAAAGCACGCGGGGCATGTGTGCACATGTGCCCAAAGTCCCAAAGGGAAAAGTGGAGAAGGGGTTGTGGCGTGACCATCTCCCATGGGGTGGTGCATTCTCACTTTCCCTTTCGCTTTCTCTGGTGAGCACACATGCTCTCTAGCTAATTAAAAATAAAAATAATAGATAAATGGAGGTAAATGAATTTACTGTCCATTGGTTAGGAAAAAGCTAAAAGGTCAAAGGGCCATAAGTGGTAACATGCACAAGCTAATAGCATTGTCTGCCGGGTTACTGTGCTCAGCCCACATGGGTGCTGCCTGCTATAGGCCGTCTTTCCTGCCTTCTTTGTTTCAGTGGTATTCTGTCCCAACTCTGCCTCTCCAGCTTTACCCTCTCCTGACTCAGTCCACACAACTAGAGGCCACTTGCACACCGTTAGCAAAGAAATCACTTTCTGGGGCCAGGTGGCGTCACAATAGTAACACGACTGGACTCACAGGGCAAAGGTCCTGGGTTTGTGTCTGAGAGTCTCCCTGATGATTCTGGGATTCTGGGATTCATGCATAAGTGCCTGTGACCCAGCTGAGACTGGAGGTGGGTCACGGAATAAGCCAGCCCCCTGTTAGAGGTGCCTGTCTCTCTGTCATAAAGAAATGAATACACTTAAAAAAGAAAAACAAAAAAACTTTCCCAATGAAAGATTTCTGCCTTTCTTTGAAACTTATTCACCCTCCCCAATTCCTCAGCTCTGTCTTCAAAGTCATTCAGGAATCCCTGTGAATATTTCCCCTATCTAGGGCCCCCGTTTCACTAGGCTGTCAGAACATGGATTCTATGAAATGGCGTGAATTTATCATGACAGCACAGCCCATGCCTCTTAATTCTTTTTGAGTTTTTAATTTTTCCACTGAAATTCAATGCTGTGGAAAGTTTTAAAATGTATTTTTATTAACGACAGATATATGTGCGTACGAGAGAGAGAGAGAGAGAGAGAGGATACCGACAATGAGGCCTGGCCACAACACAATCCTTTTTTCCTCCAATTCTCTCTCCTGTCTGGATCCTGGGCCATGCAGATCTGGCTCCCCTGTGCAGTGCCTCTGTTCGCATGGCTCTCAGTTCTAGCAGTGACACCGCCCTGTGAGAATCACCATGGGAGAGCTGGGGAAGTACTTCCTACCTTGATCTTTGTAACTCCTTCCAAGGCCTGTAAGGAGAAGGGCGAAGCAGTCATTTCAAAGCTTCGCCGTGTTGGAATAAAGCACATGAAAAAGCGAAGAATGAACTGTTCAAAGATCCCTTGTTGTAACAGAATCCACAGTGACCTTCAGAGAAAAACAGACATGCTTTGCTGATCCCTTACACACTAACTTTACTGGGCAAAAATGTCAAACTTATTTCAATGTTTTATGCAGAAATTAATACGAAATGCAACTCACACTCATTTTGCTTTTTTTTTTTTTTATTAAAACACTTTTTTGTTTATAGGCACACAAAAAAGAAAACACACAATCTGATTATGTAAAACACAATTAACACCGACATCTGGGAATGCAGAGTAGGTCTAAAGTCTTCAAAGACACTTTCACAGAAACAAACTTTAAAAATTAGGCATATTTATATTTACCTCATTTTTAGAAAGGTTTTAGTTTCTTCATTTTAATGCTATTCTGATTTATATGTATTTGTTCAAGTACTCTTAATATCTTATCAATTTTTTCTAAAACTTCAGAAATCATATTTCTAAATGAATTTCCTCTCTTTTATAGCATCTACATAGATAAATTCTAGATTTTATTTGAATTATCATTTGCTTTGCTGTCACTATTATGAGCACAGTTCCAGTAAAAATGAAATGTTATGGGGAAAAATGACAATAGACAAACCTGGAAGCAAGCCTAAGTCTTCCTACAGGAAAGGACTTATATACATGGCTTTAATAACATGCGCTGATTTAAAAACCAATATATATGTTTTTAAGTCTAGCTATTAAAAAAAGGTAGCAACTAAATGTTTGATTAAAAAAGAATAACAAGGAACCAGCAGTAAGCGTAATGGCTATGCTGCTGGACTCGGATGTAGTCGACTGCAGTTCGTGTACCGGACCCAGTGGCTTAAAACTTACGCTGGGTGCGTGTGCGTGCATGCCCAAGATCCCAAGAGGAGAATGGAGGAGAAGGGATTGCGGCGTGGCCATCCCCCCGGGGGGTGATTTCTCGCTTTCTGTCTCTCTGTCTCTCTCTGTCATGAGCGCACGCACCCTATAGCAAAAACCTCTTCAAACAAAACAAAACAAAACAAAATTTTACCAATGCTTCAACAAAGTTTTACTAACACTTCAATACAGAAGCGAAAGTTGCTTAGAATGGTAATAGAGGGTCTAAATTTTAGGGAGGCTACTAGCTTCTGAAATGTTGTACTTCCAATTTAGAAAAATTTTGTTATTCAAAACTGTAATACATTAAAGAACACCCAATATGGAATCTTTTAAATAGAGTCTTTGAACCTCTTCATAAAGCAGAAAAATGAAGTTAATTTGATTATAAAAGACTTATATCTTGGGGCCAACAGATGGCGTAGCAGTTATGTCACTGGACTCCCACATGGCTGATTGTGGTTTGAGTCCTGGACACAGACGCTTGAAAGTTACACCGGGTGCGTGTGAATGCATGCCCAAGTTCCCAGGAGGGGAATGTAGAAGAAAGGATGGTGGCATGGCCTTCCCCCTTCCGGAGGTGGGGGTTGATTTCTCACTTCCCCTCTCTCTGTCTCTCTCTCTGTCTCTCTGTCTCTCTCTTGGGTGAGTGCATGTGCCCTAAGGCGAAAACCTCTAAAAAAGGAAAAAAGACATACTTAGGGATAATTTCTAATTGGAGAAATAAGAGTTAAGAAAAAGCAGCTAAAACAATGTAGTTTAAGAAAGTATTCTTCCAAGGTATGGGGTAAGAAAAGAGAAGTTATATTTTAAAATTTAATAATACTGACCTAAAAAGGTAATAAATGCCATTTAAAAATGTTGATTTTCATCAATAAGAAAACACTAAGCATGTTGCCAATGAACACAAAAGCATTACTCATTCACACACATGACATCAGCTTGAAAAGCCGTGAAGCTGAAATGAAGCTGCTGACTATAGATCCCTTTAAAGTATGTTCTCTTTAGTTAAGAAAACTCTCAGCTTTATAGATAATAGTGAACAAAGGGAGTTAAAATGTTTGCAAGGCACTTTTAAACAGACATTCTAGATAAAAGTAAAAAAGGATAATCTAATGTTTTCCTACCAAAGAAAAAGAAAAAATATATATATACCCAAAAGCTAAATCTCAACATTTAAAAAGCTAAAGTACCTCAAATATTCATTAGAGATATCTAAAAGAACAGAAAGGTATCAAGGCTTTACATTTTATAAAAGCTAATCATATTATTACAAATAATCCTGTAACTACTGTTCAGATAATGAATAATACAAAATGATCCAAGAGCATTATCTAAAATATGTGGACATATAAAGAGGTATTCCTAAAAGTTACTTGTAAATCCAACTATGTACTAGAGAAATTAATAATTGTATAAAATTAAGAGTCCCTGTAATATAAATATCTATGAAGATTGACAACTGATTATTAGTAAGGGCACAAAGTAAACTTACATTTATTAAAACATTATATAAAAAAATGACTAAAGTATATGAAATATACTTGGAGTGAACATCATCTTGAAACAGTTTTTTTTAACTTTGTAATCTTAACCTCTCATAGTATGATTAATACAAACATTATATCCACATATATCAATTTAATAAGTGAAAGGTTACAAAATAACAAAAATAATGAATGTGAATAGTTTTGTTTTCCATTATAGTTTCCTGCATTTTCACTCTTCCCTGTGCATACCCGTAAAATCTCTTCTGTTCCTCTCCGAACACTCATTCTCAGGGGATGTGGAGGGCACTTGGCTGAGGCAGAGGTGGCTTGGCTGAGGCTGAGTGGGCTCAGCTGGCCCATATGCCATTTTTCTACATGGGGACAGCTCTTTCTAAGTAGAGTCTGATGGAGCAATCATTCCCCATCCCTAGTGCTCTTCAATCTGGCACCTAAAGTCACAGAAATGCTTTGACTCACTAATTATTTGCTCTAGCAGCATATCTAATGCCACTTCATAGGTACACCCTGGAATTCTTGGTAAAGGTCAGCAGGGGGAATGGGAGAGATTGGGAAACTTTCCCTAAAGGTTGGTCTGTATGTGTGTCATAGGAGGGATTCTAAGGTTGGAGTTTTCAACTATAAGACAGTAATAAGCATTTAAAAACCAATGTGAAAAGGTTTGAAATTAAACTTTTTATGGTGATTTTTGTGAGAGTTTTCAGAGTAATGTATTTGAATGTCTACTCTATTAATACAACAGATAAATGATACAAGGCACGCTAAGAGTGGCATAAAACTAAAAACTCATCACCCTAGGAACAGCACAAGAAGAAATTGTGACTCATTTTCTGCAAAAACCTTTGAAACAAAAAGCTTTTGGAACGCTAGAAGAAAACTATCAGCACCAGGCTTTATTTAAAAACCTCAGATACTTCAAGGAATTCTCTGATCACTGGCTTCTCTTATAAATCAAGCTGGAGGGTATTCAAAGGAAAGGGCTTCTAGGCAGTAGGCCATAAAATCAATAAGCACAATTATAACCATATAATTTAACACATCATTGGATAAGTTGTACTTTAAAAGAAACTCATTCCAAATTCTTACATCTTCTTAATTCACTGGCTTTCTGATGTAATTGGTAGACTCATAGAATAATTTTTCATAGGTTTCTTTTGACTAGATTGCTTTGGTTTGCATTCCTTTTCCTTCTTTAAAACATGCAGTTCATACATTTGACAGTTTTACTACCATAGTCAATACATTCTGGACCAATGCACTCACAGCAGGCGTTATGAAACCAGCGGTATTTGGAGGCTCCCATAGACTCACAGGATATTTTACACTGATGTATGGACATGCAGTCATCAAAATAAACCACAGTACACATATGTTCTGAAAAATAAAACACAAAGATTTCAAAGGGAGAAAGAGGAAAAACAGGAAATGCTTTAATAACTGGTGAATATTAGTAGTAGTTGTTTATCTTAGTGTTCTTATTGCTGGTTTTGCATAGGACGAGGAGATGGTATAGGAAAAAAGATGTTCATCTGAGTTCATTATGCTGAGAAGGAAGTCAGACTCTCCCACTCCAGCTGAAGAAGGCAAAAAGTTTCTTCAGTCTCTTTAATCAGATTTTGGCTTTGATCTGAAAGTTAGACTACTGAGCTTATAAACATTTGCTATGCTCTAGATGTGTGCTTTTTAAACTTCGCATTTCTGATAAGATTTCTAATTAAGAGAGAATTCCCCAGCCAAAAGAAGTTTGAAAAAATAATATTATAAAGTTATACTGAGAATCTATAAGAAAAAAAAAACTTAGTAATTCAAATGATGTGAAGTGATCAGCAATGTTTGATAAAACGAACATTAGCTATTATAAGGTATTTTTTATTACTAACAGTGATTTTTGGTACTATTTTCCAACTTTTGAGTGTTTCAATTTTGAGTGCTTTTGGTGATTAACACCATATGACTCTGCCTAGTTAGAAGGACACGGTACATGATATAAAGGAAATGAAAACCATTAATAGAGGGGACATCAGGCTGGTCATGCAGCCTGGTGGTTAAAGGAATCAAATCCCGTATGACCAAGCACAGTTCAAATCCCGGCTCAGACAGCTTGAAAAACATACATAAAAATAAACACACACACATAAATAAATAAATTAAATTAAAGAAAAATAAGATTATATGATCAAGGGTAAGTTGTTTAAAAAATTTACTTTATTTATGAAAAAGAACATGTGGACCCTTACACATGAGAGAGAGAGACAAGAGACATAAATAGGCACCCTGGACAGGGTCTTGCCACACAGCAATCACCTTCTGGTCCTACAGCTTCTCGGGATCTTGGGCATGTACACCTAGAATGTTTTGGGATGATTTGGGATCAAACTCTGGTCAGCCATGTGGCTTTCAGCACTGCAATTCCACACACTGCTGACTGTACGACTGAGACTGGGCTGGCTACAATCATTAGGAATTCAAAGAGGAATCAGAGAACCCTAACATTAACTAAGTAGAAAATGGTAGATCTATCAATTACAAACACAACAAATAGAACCACAGCTGTAGATGGGAGTAGTAGGAAATTGTCAACAATCTACGGGAAGGGGATCCTGGGGCATTAATAAGAAACTTTAGCTCTGTCTTAAAGGATAGTTGGTGTTTCCAAAAATTAGCTTCCTACTAATTGTTGCCTGCATTTAAATACTCTTTGAACAAAGTTTATAAATTATTACATAATATCAATTATATTGGTTTATTTACATTTTAAAAATGGGGACCAAAGAATAATTATATTCCATATACTTTACTGTTTTCCAAAATCTAGAATTTGTTTTATAAAGTATTTTAACCTAAAAGGAATAAGAATTCTTACTGTCTTTTTTAAAAAAAGATTTATTTATTTTATTTTATTTCTTAAAATGATTTATTTTTTAAAATTTGACCAGAGAGAGACAGCAAGAGAGAAAGAAAGGGAAAGTGAGAAAGCAAGCTGCTAGGTTCAGGACCTGGACCTGGACCTAGTCCAGCACCTTGACCACCACACCACCTGTTAGCCCCCTTACTCTGTCATTTATTAAAAGCTGTTTTGCTTTTACTATTAATGTCCAAGGTTTCTTTGTCCAAAGGACTGCAATGGAGGGCAAAACAAATAGCCAAACTTAAAAAAAATACAAACTATATTACTTATACATAATTCATCTCCTAAGAAATAACTGCCTTGTTTTTTTTGTTTTTTTTAAAGAATTATTTTAACTTTGTTTTAATTTGACCAGAGAGGGACAGAGTAAGAGAGAGAGAGAGAGAGGGAGAAAGTGAGAAAGCAAGCTGCCCGGTCCAGGACTCAAACTACAGTTGGCCATGTGGGAGTCCAATGCCCCCAACAACCATGCCACCTGCCAGCCCAAACAACTGCCTTATTCTTACATAATAAAACTGTGTGGTGCCTTTTATTCAAAAATATCAAAATATTAAAGACTATATAAAGTTATATGCCCTTTACACTCCAAAATTATGAAATGACCTATGCTTATTAATAAATATTCTTTAATATGCTTCTTGCATTTGTATACTTCATTCTCTCATTTAGTTCCCCTCTGCTCAATAGCACCCCTTTACTGAGAACTGGTCTGGGTCAATTTATACCTGGAAATAAAATGTCTGTAACACAAATTTGCTCATAAAGAAAATTAGTAGCCTTGGCATCATTTATGGTACCAATGCTGTTTAGAAAACCTGGGCGTGGGCCAGTAGGTGGTGTGGTGGTTAAGGTGCTGGATCCCACATGGCCAAGTGCTTGGTTTGAGTTCCTGACAGGTGGCTTGAGAAACATGTCCAGTGTGTGAACATGCCCAAAATCTCAAGAGGAGAATGGAGGAGAGGTGACTGCGGTGTAGCCATCTCCCCAGGGGGTGATTGCTCTATTTCTCTCTCTCTATTTGTCTGGCCAGTAGGTGGTGTGGTGGTTAAGGTGCTGGATCCCACATGGCCAAGTGCTTGGTTTGAGTTCCTGACAGGTGGCTTGAGAAACATGTCCAGTGTGTGAACATGCCCAAAATCTCAAGAGGAGAATGGAGGAGAGGTGACTGCGGTGTAGCCATCTCCCCAGGGGGTGATTGCTCTATTTCTCTCTCTCTATTTGTCTCTCACTGCAGAACACATGTATCCTGTAGCAAACTGAAAAAAAAAAACAAAAAAACAAACAAAAAATCCCTCATGTCCCAACGCATGCTGAATAACTGTGAAACAAAAAATCCCTTATGTCCCAACGCATGCTGAATATCTGTGGACAACACTGTACTAGGTAGACAGCACTGTTGTATCTTATGAAAAGAATAATTAAAACTTAATGCAGATAAGGGGGCCAGCAGGTGGCATGGTGATAAAGGCGCTGGACTCACATGGCCAACCTGGACCAGGAGGCTTGCTTTCGTACTTTCCCTCTCTCTCTCAGTCTCTCTCTGGTCAAATTAAAATAATAATAATGACAATAATAATAAATTAAAATTCTTTTAAAAACTAAAATAAAAATTTAATGCAAATAGAGACCAGAACGAGGAACAGTTGTTTTCCAACACAGCTTGGATTGCCAGCAGCATGAAGGGTGTTTTGACAGCGTACTGAATGCCTCATCTACTCAGGGATCCCAGTTCTTGAAATCGAACATTTAAAGACTATACAATTAAAAAGTTGCTCCAAAAGATAATCATTTTCTTTTCTTTTTTAAAAAAATTTTTTGCCATGAGTGTGCTCACTGACAGAGAAAGAAAAGGGTAAAGTGAGAAATCACCCCCCAAGGGGGGATGAGCACACTGCAATCCCTTCTCCTCTATCCTCCTTCTGGGATCTTGGGCACAGACACACACACACACACACACACACAAGCACACACACAAGCACACACATGCCCAAGGTGATTTTTAAGCCGATAGGTCCAGGACTTGAACCGTGGTCAGCCATGTGGGAGTTCTGCACCTTAACCACCATGTCCACAAATGATAATCTTAATACAGGTTTCATAGCCATAGGAGAAGGTACAGGAAAAGGCAACTGTTGGTGGTTACCTTTGTCGCTGGCATAAGGCGCGTGCACATTATTACTAGGAACGGATACGTTTTGGTGGTGCGGCTGGTTCACAGTTTCTAGAAATGAAACCAGATTCTCATGGTGTGAAAGTTCTTCTGCAACAGGGAAGGAAACGATGTTCCAATTCAACTGTGTATCTCCTTCTGTGAGGGCCCGGAAGAGAGAAGGGATAGGCTCATGCAGCTCCTCCACTGTGCTCTTCGAAGTTGGAGGCGTGTCGCTGTAATTCCGAGGGTTACACATACCTTAGTGGGCAGGAGTGACAAAGAGAATAAAAGGTTATTTTTCTCACTGATCATAACACTGTGGGATTTTGCTAGTTACTGTCCAACACAATTCCAATATACTAAAACTGTATGATTTCTAACATTTATTGTAGATACTTTCCTAGCTTTGTTTTTGGCTGAGAGAGCCTGAAAATGATGACACCCCGCCCCATCCCAGTAGCTTTGAGTACACTGAACGCCCAGATCTTGTTTGCTAAATACTCATCCTTCACTAAGAGAAACCAGAACTCCTTGGAGAAAACATTGACTCTAGGGATGGGTCAGGGCAAGTACAAAATGAGCCTGAAACATTTTGTGTGTGTGTGTGCCAGAAGGTAAAGGAAAGCTCAGTGATGGAACATGTTGAAAAGACAGTAAGGACAACCTGAAGGTCTCCCACTTGCTAAACTGACAGTTGGAGCATAGACTGATAATAGATTACCACACTGTGAGGAAAACAATAATCTATGAGTCCTTATATCATAAATAAAAGAACAAGATAAATGGAAAAGGGAAGGCTCTTTTTTGCCAACTGATAAATGTAGAAGGAATAAAATAATTTAAAAGGACAAAATGGCAAGAGAGAATTAGAAATAGAATTTTTTTCAAGTTGTGCTATACGAGAAGAGCTGACACAGTGTTTAATCAGCTCTGCCCTTCGAGCTATCCCATCTGATACTATGCAGGGCAGAGAGGAGCTATCCCATATAACACAGCCTAAAATACAGACTCAAGAGCTAATTAAAAGATTATTGTTTTGTTTTTATTTTTATTTTTATTTTTTTAAGACAGATTTTTGCTATAGTGCACATCGCTGGAGAGACAGAGACAGAAAGCAAGAAAACACTTCCCAGTGGGAATGGCCATGCTGCAATCCCTTCTCCACCATTCTCCTCTCGGGATTTTGGGCATGCATGCACACATGCCTGGCATGAGTCTAAGCTGCTGGGTCCAGGACTTCAACTATGGTTGATTGTGTGGGAATCCGGCAACATAACCATTACATCTGCTAGTCCTAAAAGATTGTTTTAAACCACTGTGTTTTGGGGCAGGTTACTTAGTAGTAATAGTACCTGAAACTGAGCCCTTCAAATTTTCTTTTGTGAACATTACAAGGGGACTTCAGAAAGTTCATGGAGGGGCTGGCAAGTGACGTGGTGATTGGGGTACTGGACTCCCACATGGCTGACCATGGTCAAGTCTCAGACCTGGTGGTTTGCTTTCTCACTTTCCATTTCTCTCTTTCTCTGGTCATATTAAAAAAATATTAATAATAAAATTAAATTTAAAAAATTCTTTAAGAAAAAATTTCATGGAAAAATAGAATTAAAGTACATGTTTATTTTGATGCAGAACATTTTCAAGACCATACATAGTTTTTTGAGAGAGAGAAAGAGAGAGAGAGACAGCCTAGACAGAATCTCATTATGCTGCAATCCTCTTTCCCAGCCCTCCAGCTTGTCAGGATGTTGGGCACGCATGTTCACGCTCCATAAGTAATAATCTAAGATTACAGTCAAGGTCATGATTAAGTCTCCTGATTTTGTGTGTACTGCTCTAATAATCACGTTCTATAAATATCTTTTTTTTTTTTAGTGCATTTGTTTCTTTCATGAGAGAAACAGAGAGAGAGACAAACACTCTCGACAAGGTCTCATGCTGTAACCCTCCCTGCAGCCTTTCCAACCAGCCAGGCTCAAAGATACATATGCACCTGGTATAGAAAGGAGGACATAGGAACTAAACACAGATTCTCCATACAGCTTTAAGCATTGCAGAGTGTTGTGTTACTACTGTGTCACTGGGTTGGGCCTAAATAATCATTACGTGTCATTGAAAAGCAAATAATACCTAGAATGCATGTATTATACAAGTACATGACATATTCCTCTGTTAGATTCTATGATGAATGAAAATTAGTAATCAGAAATGAAAAGGTAACAATGGCCCCAAGTTTAGTTCCTTTAGGTTAAAGATGGCATGGTGGTTGAGACACTGGGCTTCCACATGGCCAACTGTGGTTTGAGTCCTGGACTGGGTGGCTTGAAAATCATGCTGGGTGTATGTGCGTGCATGCCCAAAATCACATGAGGAGAATGGAGGAGAAGGGACTGTGGCATCCTTCCGGGGAGGTGGGTGATTTCTAACTTTCCCTCTCACTGCCTGTCTCTGTTTCTCTTTGGCAAATGTATATGCCCTATGGCAAAAACCTTAAAAGAAAAACTCAACTCAACTCAACAGCTATGGAAGTCTTTAAAAATATATCAGTACTTAATATATGTAATTTCTTTACATCTAAAATATTTTTTAAAGTGCTGTAAATTTAGCAAACAGGCTAAAATCATTTCTAATTTACAATGCATTAAAACTAGTAAGCATGAAGTAAATGCTTGCTAGCTAGTATTTTTCCATGGCATCGCTATCAAAATTTTCATCTATCATCTCTTTTTAATTAGGATTACAGACAAAGAGACCATCACAAGAGACTCTTCGTAGGCATGCTGATATTGACCCCTATTTCTTTCAAGCACAGTGAACTATGAAATCTGAACTGCCAGTGTTGTCTAACGTAATCCTGCTCAAGAGAAGAAATGTTTTCACATTTCTGGCAATTCTTTAGTGTCTATCTTCATTGTATACAATGAATCAATTTCTTGCTGGAGTTACCAACCATCTGTAGTTTAAATTCAGTTAGCAAAGCTGTCTGGGAAGTATATCCCATCGTCCTGAAGTTTATCATTATTGGAGAGCTTTTCTTTAAGCATAAAGGATTTTATGCTCTCCTTTCTTTTCATGACCATTTCTTGAGATATTTTTACATTCTTTCACTACATAGAAGTTGAGATACTAATAATATTAACAGACATAGAGAAATGGGCTCTGTAAATGATACTCGGGGGACAAAAATTAGGACAAAAATAAAATGGCAACTGAAAGACAAATGTTTTCAATTCTTTAAGGGAGCAGAGCTTATTACTACTTCTTCCAGCCAAAACTCACTATCTTCCTGCTCTTGGTCTGCAACTATGAAATATGAAGAATTTTCTGATGTAACTGATCATGCTTAATTCTTTTACATATCTGACCTGTCATCACCACACATTTGAAAACTAAAGACACATTAAAAGTAGTTTACTTGATTAAACGTTTCAGGATGGAAATTAAGACTAGATGGGGAGGGACCAGCAGATGGCATAATGGTTACGTCATAGGACTCCCATGTAGTTAACCATGGCCCAAGTCCTGGACCTGGCACCTTAAAACTCATGCTGGGCACGTGTGCCCAAGATCCCAAGAGGAGAATGGAGGAAAAGGGATTGTAGCATGGCCGTCCCCCCTGGGGGATGATATTTCACTTTTCGCTTCTCCGTTTCTCTCTGGCAGGCGCATGTACCCTGTAGCACAAATCTCTCTCTTAAAAAAAAAAAAAGAGTAGGTGGGTGAGGAGCCAACAGATGGCATAGTAGTTATGTTGTTGGACTTCCACATGGGTGACCACAGTTTGAGTCCCAGACTCGGTGGCTTGAAACTCATGCCGGGCATGTGTGCACGTGTGTGCCCCAAATCCTGAGAGGAGAATGGAGGAGAAGGGATTTGGTGTGGCCATCCCCTCGGTGGGTGATTTCTCACTTTCCCTCTCACTATCTCTGTCTCTCCCTCCAGCAAGTGTATACACCTTAGGCAAAAAAAAAAAAAAAATCCTCTAAAAAAAAGAGAAAGATTAAGCCGGGAAAAGTTATTACTTTTCTTAATAAATGTGCATGATTTAACAACTGCCCAGAAAAGCTCACAGTGAAAACCAGCAGTCCTTTCCACTCCTCCCACCCTGATTCTTTGATTCTCCAGATGCAGTTACTTTAGAAATTGGTCCTTAAGTTTTTCTGGTAGTTACTGTCAGAAGAATTTAAATAAAAATGACTAAAGTATGGAGCCAGCAAGTGGCATGGTGGTTAAGGGCGCTGGACTCCCACATGGCCAACCATGATTTGACTCCGGACCTGGAGGCTTGCTTTCTCACTCTGTCCTCTCTGGTCAAATTAAGTTAAATAAAAATAAAACATGTTTTTGGAGATATTTAGGGAAACGATTATGAATTGAGTTGTGGATTATAGCAAGAAAAAGTTGTTCATTCTGTTAGGTGTCATAATGGCATTATGATTAGTAAGGTAAATATCCATATTCTTTTAGCAGTTGACAGTAAGAATTTAAGAATAAGAATTATTTGTGGGAACAGCAGATGGTATGATAGTTATGTTGCTGGACTTCCACATGGCCTACCACAGTTCGAGTCCTGGACCTGGTGGCTTAAAATTCTGCCAGTTACATGTGTGTGCATGCCCAAAATCCTGGAAGGAGAATGGAGAAGGGACTGCGGCATGGCCATCTCCTCTAGAGATCCCCCCTCACTTTCTGTTTCTCTGTTTCTCTGGCAAGCTTATGCACCCTATAGCAAAAATCTCTCTCACAAAAAGAAAAAAAAGATTTGCTCTCTGAGATTTGCTTTTAAATACTTTGCCAAAGAAAGAACAAAAGGATAGTAAAAACAAATTTGGAATATTCTTGATCATTGTTGAAAGTGAATGATGGCTATATAGGAATTCATGTGCTATTCTCTCCACTTACGGAAACTGCTATATTTAATTCCTTCATGGATAATTATTTTCTTGTTGAGCTTTTATGGTTTCTTTTTTGGTGGTGGTGGGGGAACAGTATACAATCATGCCATAATTCCTTCCCTCCCGTTTCTCTATCCCCTTAGGATCTGGGGCATACACACATGTTCCCAGTGTGCTTCTCAAGCCCCCAGGGCCAGGATTTGAACCACATGGTAGGCCATGTGGGATCTGGGAGCCATGGAGCTGGTCCCAAAGAGGCCTCATTTTGAGAGTGGTACAAGAATAGATAGAACTTTTCATTTTTGGTTCTTAGTTTCTTTCACATGAGTAAAGGATTATATCAGAATCTCCAAAGGGTATGTA